GTGTGCGTGTGCGTGTGTGTGTGTGTGTGGAGAGAGGTAGAGATAAGACTGACTCGTCTTGGTTGCCATAGAAACATAGCACAGTAGGAGCATGTAGCTTCAGACACAATAGTCTGTGACAGCCATATTTGGCAGTGACTTCCGGGGAAGTGGCCTGCGGCGGAGAACGGACGGAGCTGGCTGATGCTCGGTCCTCGCTGGAACCCTGAGTCAGACCTTCCTGAGAGATGTTTCCCTGCAGGCGCCGCTTCAGCCACAAACATCATCACATGCCCACAGATTGCTGTCGACAGTTCTGTACCGCGTTTTGTATTCAGTCCCCAAAACATCGTCAGTTTGCACCCGGAGAGTTGTGTTGTTGGAGCGACGAGAGATAAGAGAAACTGATGGATCCTTAACTTTGATCTCACTGAGATCTTGACTCAAAACTAATGATGAACATAAAAAGCATTTAGATGTGATAGAGCAGAATACCTCACGTATGTGGGAAGGAAATTAGAGATTTCTGAACAGATTCACTGTGTTACAGTTGTTTACAGTTTACAAGTTTATGATGATGATGTCAGACTTTCCTTTACACTTGTGATACACGTGTGGAATTTATTCAATATTAGACAAACTCTGAGTTGAGTTGAGTTTTGTCAGAACAATTAAAATTGTTTCTTATCCTGTCAAACCATTGCTGAAAGGATTAGTCAGTTAATTAATTAGCTAATCTACGCAAAATTAATCCTAATTTCAGATAAATGCAAAAATACCAGATGGGTTTAGCTTCTCAGAAGTGACGACCTGCAACTTTTCTCTGTTGTGTATAATTTTAAATTCAACTTGACTAAACAAAGCAATTGGAAAGTTGGAAAGAAAATAGGATTTTCACTGTTTTCTGGAAGTCTATTGACTAAACATTTACATTTAGTCAATTAATCAAAAAACTAATAAATAGATTAACCAACAATGAGAAAGTTTGTCGACTGCACAAACTCTCCAACCTCATCTTCTGGAATTATATGTAATCAAGCATTCATGATGTTGTTGTTGATGACTTCTAGTTTTTCAAGTCTCTTTTTCCTCTTTCCCCAAAACATGTTTACTCGCCTGTTTCCCAAGATGCATCTGTAAAAGTTAATTCAAGTTACATGGTCACGTACACATTTAATGTTCAACTAAACTGTTGGAGAGAAATGAATACATTCAGTTAGACAACATTGAAGGAGGAGACATTCACCTTGAACTAAATCTGACAGTGAAGTCTGGTTTGCACCACATACCAAACTAATCCTGTGTTTTAAGAAAATTTACTCTGCGGACAGAAGTTAATTAATGATTCCATTAATTATTTGGTTATTTAATCTCAGCTGCACACAAAACAAACTCATTTATTTACGATTTGGGCAGTGAAGTTAAACGTATTCGACACCAGACAATTAAAGCTCTGTCTATTTTTGTGATGTTTAGAAACCAGCACCAGTGAATCTTATTATTTCTCATCCACACTCAGAGATTTAAAGATAATAAACAACTCTGCAGATCTCAGGCTTTTCTGAAAGCAGCCTCCAAGTCCGATATAAGATTTCAGCCAACACACACGCTTATGAAGAAAAGTCTTCATCACATGTAATAATCTTGGCTGCAGGAGCTGCACAGAGAAGATGTGATGTGTAAATGATGTCTGAGTCAGTTAAGGACAGACAGAGAGATTTTAACACAACACGCTGTCAAACACCACCTGGTGTCCCTCTGCGTGTCTGGCCGCTTCGCATTGTGTGTGTTTGCAGCTGAGACCTCGACACTACTGAGAGACAGTTGCACACTTGTAGACACACACAAAATTAAATATATAATCATAAATATTCGCCCTGCATACATAATATTATTAAAATGTGTTTGCAGTAGAATTTACTTCTTTATTTGGACACAGTTGGATCCAAATTGATTCAGACGACAAATTGAAAGATAATTGCCACCAGCAAGGAGGTTATGTTTTCACCCCTGTCCGTTTTGTGTGTTTGTTTGTTTGTTTGTGAGCAAGATTCTTCAAAAATTGTGAAACAGATTTCCATGAAACTTGATGGAAGGATTTTGTATTTGTCAGGGAAGAACCCCTTAAATCTTGACGCAGAATGGGATCGGGCGGCAGTTCCAGAATCTTCTGACTTGACATGAAATCTGGCACATTGATAGAACTGATATCTACGAGTGTGTAAAATTCAGCGGAGCTGGATAGAATTTAAGGAAACTGTTGGGCCTTGGAGTTTGTGCAAACTTATTGAGATATTTAACCTAACCTCATATTTTCCAAAAGAAAACCATCCTACAGAAAGTAAAGGTTTGGGTTTCTGCTCTTTTGTTTCAATTCACAGGCAGAATCATTTTAGAAACACAGTAATAAGTCAAATAATTGTTATCAGGCTGCTTCCTATAGCCCAGAATTTTCCTCAAGGTCATTTTTTATATTGACAAACATTAAAGCATTAAGACTTGTGTGTTGTATGTTTGGGAGGTGAATCACACTGTGGCTCTCAGTCAGTGAATCATGAGTCTTAATCATCATTACTCATCAAGTACTGGTTGTGATATAAATTAAGAGCCTCTAAGTGTCTGAAAATGTGTATATTTATCTGATTAATTCTTAAGATACAAATAACATCTTTACTTTTTTTTAGCATTTCCATCTCATTTGAAATATCACTGTAACAAAAAGACACTGTTGAAAGAAATGCCAGATATCCACCCTCACGCTGTAGATGATCTGATGTGCTGGTATACGTCCTCTTAGTTCTGTGTATGTATACGTGTGAGCGGGTGTGGGCAGGTTCTTGTGTGACTGCCTGACACTGTCATCACTCTGATCTCACAACCCCGGCTCAGTGTCTGCTCTCTACACACACACAACCAGAATAATGTGAGAAAACAAATTTGCACTCATACATAGTTTCTCGCCGCGTTCCACCATCTGTCTCCCTGCTCTCCTCTGAGGCCCCATGTCAGCTAATTTTAACAGAGGGCTACAGATGCTGCCAATGGGCGTCACGCTGATACTTCAGTGTCTCATCATTGTCTCTCTGTCACAAGCAGCACCAGACGACTTTACGTGGAAGTGCACGGGGCAGACGACCAACAAATAAATCCTGTGCGTCTCCAGCAATGCTGCTGTGACACTCTCTGAGCTGTGATCGCACCAGGTTTGCTGCTTTCGCCAACTTTTCTTCGCTATAGAAACCTACACAGTACAAACCAGATGAGCACAGGGAGTGTATGAAATAGAGGCTGCAAGGAAAAACTAATTCATGGCTAGGGCAGTATTGATATTTGTTGTAAGGGTGAGATTAAAACATGCCTCAAGGCAGGTTTGAGTTTATGAAACTGAAGTTTTAATGAATTTGAGATGTAAGGCTCCTTTTTTTTTAGGACAAGATGTCTCAAAACTTTCTGTTTGTCTTGGGGTGTATATTTCTACTAAACCTGCTCGTTTTAGTTTGTTGAATTTCCCACGTTTTCTTTTGACAGACTTCATTGAGACTATGCATTATCTTCCATATTTCATCGAATGTTTATATAAAGATCCAAATGTGTTTTTAATGAATGAGAGTATACAGTAAACAGAGTGTATGTGTGTGGTGAGATGCAGTTCTTAAAATAACTGTGTGATTATTTACTTGTGCGACCTTGAACATATATGATAATATGATGAGATGTATAGTGAAGGGTGTGATTGACTGGTAATCAAGACTCATTAATCCATTGAGGCTGTTATGTATTAAGTCTTTTCCAAGATGGAGATGAAAAAAACAGCATCCGGCTGATTTATCACTGTTAAAGATGATCCAGAATTTATTTATCTTTCCAGAGACTCCTGTGTAATTTTTTTTATGAATGAAAAGATGCACTGCTGCCTCTGTGTTGTTTCATGGTGCTAGTGTTGCATTTGTTGGTCACACTATGGAATCACAGTTCTCAGTTAATGTTGCTCCACCACTTTAGTTCAGACTGAAATATCCTAACAGCTACTGGATGGATTGCTATGACGTCTTGTGCAGACATTCATGGTCCCCAGAGGATGAATGCTTATGACTTGTAACAACACCCTGTCTTTTCCTCTAGCGCCACCTTGAGTTTGGCATTTGGGATTTTGAGTGAAATGTCATCAGCTGCTGGATCAACATTAAGATTTTAATTTGCGCTTTACTTTGGCTTATGACCAAATACTAATGAAGTACTGCGAAGCTTCAGAAGTACTCAGTGATTAGTTTTGGCATTTAAATGCTTGGATTGAGTTGAAGGTGTTGTGTTCGACTCTGCATCTCATTGTGAGGCCATGTTATGATGCTTAGGCCGATCATCAAACACACGGTACAGCTGGAGACAAGCAGAAACATAAGGTGCTGTCCTGTATTCACAGCTAGTTCAGCTGAAACACACCAGCCAGAGGGGGCGGCTGTGGCTGAGGGGGTAGAGTGGTCATCCTCTTACCAGAGGGTCAGCAGTTCAATCCTAGTCTTCCTCATCTGCATGCCGAAGTGTCCTTGGGCAAGATACTGAACCCTGAATGTCCCTCATAGAAAGAAGTGCTACCTTATATTGCTTGCAGTCGTCATCAAATCCACCTCAGCTCCTCTACAGCCGATGCAAAACCATCAGACACATGGTCACCTGGCAATCGCTTTTATCCACAGTGTCTCGCTGCACCACATTTTAACAACTGGACATCTCCAAACTGGTTATAGTTGGTTGATCATTTTTTATCCAACACGTGTGTGCGGCCACTCATGTTTCAGATTATTGACCATCTCTCAGCTTCAAGGCTTCATTGTATGAGTCAGTCAGTGCAGGGCTGCAGGAGTTAGAAAAACAAGCCTGAAATGCAGAGCAGAGTTGCAGCGATGCTTTGGGGATGTTTGGACAACACAGTGCCATGCTCTCTCTCTCTCGCTCTCTCTCTCTCCCTCTCTCCCTCCCTCCCCCGCCTCTCTCCGGTGAGCGTCAGCCTTTGCGCAAGCATCCCTCCTCCCCGCCTCTTCGGTGTAGTACAGCGCTGCTCCTTCTCTTCCATTCACCACAGTTTACTATCACCCTTGGACGGAGCTCGTGCAGAGGTGCTGTCCATCATCTCCTCCTTCTCCTCTGTTCACATCTCTGGATTATCACTGTGTTTTCCGTCATGCTGGAAGAGGAAGGTAGGATCATTACACGTTCAGCGGCTTCTGTCATATTCCCTCGGACGAACGCGTAAACTTCACGCGTCCTTGCTCATATCTGTTCCCTCGGACATACATGTGTCGCCGCCGGTGTGTTTTTGAATTCCAGCAACTGTGTGATCGTGTAGTACTATAATGTCAATGAGAGATGCGTTGAAATGTTAATGTTGTTCCGTTGTGTAACCCGGAGGAGTGTCTGTCCGTGTGCGTAACGCTGATGCTGAATTTCATCAATGGAGATGTCTGGGAAGGGGAGAAACAAAGGCAGTTTATTGCATTGGCCTACTTCGTTTTTCAGTAAAACAACAGACTCGTGTAGTGCAATGGCAGCAGATGTTATTTCAGTCTGCTGTGCACAGGCTTCATCCTCTTTGTCCTGAATAATGCACAAAGTTGTCTGATCTCTGCAGGGGAATAATTAACAGTACACAGTGACGGTTGGAGCTCTGGAAATGTCATTGGCTTTGACTTATAATGTGAATTTAATGCATATAAAAGGAAACAAGAAAACCCTGTTGTTTAATATGCTGTAGGCTAATACATGATAACATCATATTAAAAAAATAGACTAGGAGATGACTGGTGATTTAAAAAGAAATAAACACTGGATCTTTTATTTATTTGGATAAAATGAGGATCCATAATGCAACTGCTTTGTTGATCATTGTCTCCCTGCAGCTTCATAGACCAGTGGTTCAGGCAAGGCAGCCTTGGGTTGACATGAGGTGAGGCAGTGTTTGGTACAGCCAAGAGAAAATGACCCATGTTTTCAGTCGGATGACAAACAGGCTGGTGTTCTGAGTGCAGGTCAGTGATTCTGCTGCATGTGATGCTCGGTGTCTGACTTGTGCTCGACTGCACACACAGGATTCAGGGGCAGCGTTGATTAATCCGATGTTCCTGTTTAATAATGAGGTGTTGCCGCTGGGTTTTTGTGCCGTGCCGCAGCTGGAAGAAGTGGATCAGGCTGAGAGGTCACAAGTGCATTTAACAGAGGGGGAAGTGGTGAAAATCAGGACAGCCTGTATATGCATAGAGCGTGCTGTGATTGTTAGATGCACATAGGATTTATAGTTTGGCTGAAATAAAAAAAAAAGAGCAGTGTGGACTTCAGTGCTCTTTTCATTTACTCCCCCTCCTCTCCTCCTCTTCCTCCTCTGCCTCACTCGTGTGAATGGATGGATGCTGAGGAGAGGAAGTGTGGGCTGCTGCCAGACACTCGGAAATATAGCTGTTCCAGAAAATGTGGATTCACCCTGAAAGGATCATCTATTTCAATATTTCTCTCCTGGTCTCACCCTGCTCCATTTCCTCTCTCGCCCTTCTCCCTCCAGTGAACGGGACGCCGGCCAGTCAGCTCTCCACTCCTCATTCGGGAAAATCTCCCAGCCCCTCCCCGACCAGCCCAGGCAGCCTCAGCCAACGCCGGGTAATACACGGACACACACACACACTAATCCTTTACATTTAGTCACACTAAATCTATAACACATTCCCTTTATGTTCTCAGGAAAAGGACAAAGCTGTGACTGAGCATAGGCCGACTACATCTTAGAGTTGTTAGAATACGAAGGAACCACAACATCCCAGCATCTATAATGTCTCAGAAAGGGACAAAGTGTTGACCTTTGACCTCATGCAGTGCTGCCATGGAGTCCAAGACTGGCAGGCTCATGTTAAGACCCACTTATGTTACAAATTTTATGTTAATTTGACTTAAAGGGCAAATTCCCCCCTTTCGTGCTGATGTTCTGTCACATTCCCACAGATGCTGACGTAAAGCTCTTCGTGCAGAACTCTCTCTGCCTTTGGTAGCTCAACAGCGAATTATGCCATCACTGACTTTTCCATTCGACCCCATCTGTCAGTCTGCGGTTTGTGCAAAATCTAATCTAAAGATGAGACTGAGACTGACAATTGGCTTTGTGCTTCAACCTTCAACATTTTATTCTGCTAAAAAGAGGGTTAGCATCCCCTGTTAGCTACCAGGCAGTGCTTTTCTGCATGTTAGCATAAAGGAAAGACCCAGACATTACGGATCCTTTGATCAGGGACGACTTTTTTTTTTATCAAGTTGTGTCATTTTGTACATGTGCTACTCTGTGAAAGTTTTAGAAAAACAGTTTTATACTAGTATATTTGATTATTGCAGCCAGTTATTGGTCTGGGTTTAAAAACAAATGTGTTTAAACATCAAAAGTAAATCTATTTTCTGTAGCGAACAATGAGGAAAGGATCTGAGATACAAACTCGCTGTGTGGACTGTAAATCTTGATGTCACTGTAAAATACTGCTGTGCAGAGCAGGAGCATGCAAGTCAACCAGTTAACCTTGAATCTCACTTTAGAGAGGTTGAGTTCATGTACGTGTGTGTGTGTGTGTGTGTGTGGGCGTGTGAGTTCAAGATCAAGTATGTGTTAATCCAGTCCTTGACAGTGATGGTGAGCTTTTAATATCAGCCTCAATCCCAACAGCCGCTCTTTAATTTGCAGGAGCCTCCTAAGCCTGTCGCTGATTTAGATCCCACTCCATCGTGAACAAACACTCACACGTTCAGTTCACGTCACCCTCACTGTGTAGATATGTGGACCTGTGATGCCTTCATATGGGCTCCAGCCTGCACGTGTCTTGTGTATTTCTAAAGCATTTGGACCGAAAACTCAGTGTGTGCATACATTGTTCTCCCTGAGAGCAGATGTAGCTGCGATTTATTTTGTAGTTATTTAGATATTTATTGGTGCAGGCACAACTCTTTCTTAGGGTATAGGAAGCAAGAATGTGGCTGAAGTCAATACATTTTAAAAGAGCGCAAAGAGTGATTGTAAATTACTTTTGCACATAACTGAGTTTGTGTGGCTGTGTTTACGAGTGACGATACTAGAGCCTGACGGATGTTGAATACAGATATATCTGCCGATAAGTATATTTTTTAAATTGGCATTTATTCCTACAATGTTGTCAAACCAGTTTTACAAAGTAATGTAATCGAGGCTTGATTTTTTACAGTAACCATAAACTTTCGAATGAATAACTATAAATAAAAGTTAACAGACACAACCAAATATATAGATTGACTATTTTAAATATAGTTTTTTGCTTCACTTAAGTGGTTGTATTGGACGCTTGGCAGCTTTGTCATTAATAGGTCTACACTGTTGTACCAAACTAATATTTTTTGCATCTTTACTTGCAAACACCATAAGGTCACAGACCTACTTGCATATGTCTACCACAGCTCAGTAAAAAGTGATTAGTATCTTTCGAATGAATACCCTCTCACAAAGGATCTTTTCCAGTGTAATGCTAGAAGGATAATAGTAATCTGAATTCCATATAATACCTCAAAGGACAAGATTTCTCGTATCTCGTAACTGTCAATAAATCCTGTGATAATACCAAAACCAACATTACATTAGTCTTTCAATACTTCATGGCTTCCTTACCTTTAAAAAAGCTCACAAAAATAAAAATATATGTTCTAATTGCTGTAATTTGTAGTAACTGTCACTCAAGCATCGGATAACAATTCATTTACTGGGAGATATTTGGGGCTAAATACTACTTACTAAAAGTAATTATTTTTGAGCTGTAGGACAATTTTATTGTGAAATTTAGTCAAAACCAACTNTTTACGTACTTGACAACAGAAATGCTTTGTTTATTCTGTACAATAAAAGTTTTCATATCAGTGCATATCGACAAACATAAAAGCCGATATGTCTGTGAAAGGCTCATATCGGCCGATAAATTGGTCGGACTCCACCATGTACACTAAAACCAGCGCGGTGTAAAGAATGAATCTCTTGCTTCAGACTCGTGATGCATTTGACGCTGGAGATTTTGGCCCTCAGGCTTGTGATTCCATCAGTGATGAGGTTGTATTGATGTGATATAAAGGTCAACCCAGGCGACAGGAAACAGATCAAATTGGGGTTGCAGGGACTGAGAGGAGGTCAAGGTGCAGTGGAGCTTCCACAGTCGTCCGCACAAAGGAAGTGGGACAGCATAGATTAAACTGGAAATGTTTGTCGTTTTGCTTCCACCCACTTTTCTCCATCAAACCTCAGCCTCCACAAATCAACCATGTCGTGCAGTTCCGACCTCAGTGTAACAACATTTAAATTTTAGTTTTACACAACGAGCTGAGCATGTGTGTTTCTCAAACGGAGATAATTCCAGGCTTTGCACTCACATCCACTCCATACTAAGCCTGCACTGCTCTTGGCTGGAAAGAAAGGGTGGAAGCCTCACAGCCCATTATCTCTCCCCTCCACTCTGCAGCTTCACACTCTTCTGCCATATTACGGTCTCATTCTCTCCCGCACGTCATACTTTTCCCCTAATCGTCTCGTTAGTGATCCTCCCTCTTTCCTCGTTCTCCCCGACACTTTCTAATTTCTCCCCCAACCATCCCCCTTTCTTCTCCCCCATGTGAAAGAGTATTAACTTCACAGGGAGAAATAATATTTCCCCAGTTCCCCTTCTAGATTAATTCTAAGCTTCTTTGAGAAGTAGGCGCCAAGTTCCTGACACTATATTTTCACATTTCCTCTCCGTCTATGTAAACATGCTGGAATAATCATAGACTACTCAAAGTCAAATCCTGTTATTGTTACACTTACAATGGCAAGTGAATATGTTTCTCACCCGTTTGCATAACTCAACGTCACAAACCATGACTCAGAAATGACCCTTTTCCTGAATTTTAACATCCCTGGTTTAAAAATAGCTAAAATCTTTTTGCCAGTAAAGCGCTGAAAGCTTCCACAAACTATTCACCATGCATGGAGCCTCAGTGACCTACTACGAGAGTTGCATTTAGAACGTTCACTTCTCTGGACCTTGCATTCAAACACTTACAGGCACTTTGCTGCCTGGAGTAGGTTGCTCGCTCAGTTCAGACCATCACAACCTATTTCCCTGAGCAGAATGTACAGACCTATAACGTCTGCTTTTATCTTTTGGTTTCACACATATGTAACTGCAAACATAGAGGTCTGCAGACTTGTAAATTCATGTAGGCTTCAGAAAAAACACTTTTGTACATGCAATTGCCATTTGCGCACAGCTTCGTGCAGTTGGTGTACGTTAGTATGACCCATTTTTATGAATTAGCAACAGAAGCATGATGGTCTACATTCATGAAGTCATCCATCGTCCCCCTCTTCCCTCTCTTTTGTACTTCTCACGGCCACTTGCTTCACTAAGAGCACTCCAGCTCTCTGTATTCACGTCGCTGTAATATTTATTATCAACCCTAAAGACACACGCACCAACACAGACGAGAAAACCCTGAGTTTTCTGTTTCTGGTTTAAAGCTCATAACAGTTGAAGAGGCCGAAACCTGCGAGCCCACAGCTCTTCCCTCTCTGTTATAAATGAGAGAGAGAGAAAAAAAACGCAGACAGGAGAATAAATCAGAGCGGTGACCGACAGACTGAAGGCAAGACAAACAGATGGTGTGTGACTCCAACACACAACTGTGATTCAGTCAGGTGTCGGCTTGTGTGAGTGTGTGAGAGACAGAAAAAGCTAATAGTTAGCTACAGTATATGTCACCTATATCCTCCTCTCACCATTGAGTCATTCATGTGCATAATCCATTGAGTTGCATGCTCCATCTCTCGTTCTGATCGTCCATATTTTGTGTTGGGTGATTCATGATTAAATTATGTGAGTGTGTGTGTGTGTGAGAGAGAGAGACAGAGGGCAGACTGAGCAAGCATGTGTGTATTATAAACTTGTGAATTGTTGTCTCATCTCATGTGAGTGTGTTGTTACTAAGGATTGTATTTGTTATTTGTTGTGTTGTTGTCATTAGATGGTTTGTTCATTTCTGTTCCTGTCGCTGTCAGAGGGACTGGCGGCAGCACGTGAGGAAACTGGTGCACTGGCTTCAAAAAAACATTCCATTCAGATTCCTATTTACATATTTTTTAAATCCCATCTAAGAATCGGTAACATGAAAATTTGCACTGCCATGAAAGATATGTAAATATGAAAGTTGTCTGTGGCAAATTCCCTTCAATAATCCGGTGCATCATCTGCGTGTTTTGATTTTCTGATGTGAAGCTGCCAGCTCTTCATGGCTCATTTGTTTCTGTTTGTATTTTCCTTGTCTAATGTATTAATTTCCATTTGTTCATGTCAATTAAATTCATTGTCATTTCATTTTCATTCTGTGTTTTTTCCTTTATTTATTCTCATGCTCCTCATTTGCATTTATTTGTTCATCAAATACAAAATCACCTCATACCAGATATAATGACAATAATTGTGTTTATATACATTTACCAGTGGTTCTGCTTTGTTAAACTCACTTCTGTGTTGCAGAGCAGAGATTACAACACAAACACAGTCTCGGGGGGGTGTTCATCTCCTCCACTGCAGCCCAAGTCTCCCTCCATGTTTTTAATTTTCCCTCGAGCATTTAATCGCGTTTCTGTGATTTCCCCAGGATTGCTGTCCATGAGGAACGTGATTGGAAAACGTGCCTGTGTCAAAACAGGCAGAGCAGAGAGACATAAAAACCCAAACAGGGTTGATCCCTGCAGATCAGCCTCAAATAGATTATGTTTCCATGTTTCCAAAATAAGGGCTGTGAAATAATTTGACCTCCTGTAGCTTGTGTTCCTTGTGAGGAATTTAAAACACAACATTACTTGAATTCTATCAAATCTTGTGTTTCTACTGAAGCAAACACTAACAAATGCTGCTCTTGCTGGATATTGCATGACAGTGAAAGTGAAGAAGCACTGCTGGAGGAAGGTTTGGCTCTACCCCTCCTCCTCCAGCTTAAGGGACGGAGAGAAAGAAGGCTTTAGGACGTGTGGCGTAATCTGATTCAAAAAGGGGGCACTGAGGACAAGTCCAGCATTACTCTTAAGTTGGTTATGTAAATCCGCGGTGCATCTTTAATGCTGAATTCCACAATTGGCGAACTTCCTTTTTAACCACAAAATAAATCATCATCTCTTTCACCGCACTCCGGCCTCCTGGGATGATTCCCCGTGTTTAAGGTCAATCATGGACATCCTGATGAATTCCTATTTATGCACTGATCAGTATTCAGCCCGCTGAGTGTTGCCCTAGCGGGTTTGAAGAGCTGCGGCTCTGGCCATGATGTAAAAGGTTTGTCAGTGTGTTTTTTAGTGGTGTGAGTCACAGCCCAGAGCAAAGAGTGTAGGGATGCGGAGCCAGGAATAGTGTACGTCGGTTGTATTGTGCAACGGCGAGAAAGCATGATGGTCTAACAATAACAAGACAAATCTAATGATCAATACAAACCACATCAGGCTCCATAGGCTGCATCATTCTTCCTATTTCTTTGTTTCCCTTCCTCCGTCTCTCTCTCTTTCTCTCTCTTTCTCTCTCTTTCTCTCTGTCTGCCACTCCATCTGTCTCACAGTTTTCACACAGCAAAGAGACGCAATGTTCATCGAAGGCTCAACCCTATACCTCCCAGCCCGCAGACAGGAAATGGCCATATATAGGCTTTCTGTCTCCACACTGGAAAGTCTCATAAGCTGCCTCTCTCTCCTTTCAGTGAGCAGTTTCCATAGCAACAGCATTTTGTTTCTCTCAGTGGCAGGAAGAGGGAGATAGGATTCAAAATGGGAAGGCGAGAGTATAGACGACGGGGCTGGATGTGAGATAAGGGCACAAGGGAAGTGAATATACGAGGCGAGTGGGGACGAGAAAATAAAAGAGCAGCAGTATGAACAGGAGGGTCATTGGCTTTTATGGGTATTAAGTTGTTGTTTTTTTGTATCCGGGATAAGGGCCAGACCAAAAACAACATTACATAAACCAAAATCTGCCTGACTCACAGCCACACTCACCTGGGTGGCTCTCAGGCCGCAGCAGTAGAGATGAGTAAAGGAGCCGACAGTTACTTGGCTGCAGATACAGAGCAGCTCAGCTCTGAAAATAGTTTTCAGATCTAAGTCGTTAGGATGGGTGGCCCTTTTCCCCTCTGACAAAACAACACTCGCCACAGAAACAAAAGCTTCACACGAGGCCTGGGTTCAAAGAAACGAGATCAGAAGTGAATAATAAATATACACACGTTACATAACAATCACTCACTTTTTCCCTTTATACGATGGATTAGATCTGTTCCCAGAGAACATTTTCATATTTTCAATCTGTTAATTGAAAGACCCACTTTGTAAAAATCTGGAACATGATGTGTGATTTAATTTGACAGAGTTTAAGACGTTTTCTTTTGAGAACCTTTACTATTCAATATTAATATGTTGCTAAAATACTCTGATGCCAAATTTTCCCCCATCTCACTTGACGGATTATTAGATAGACGTTGAATAAAGATGGAGGCCGCCTCTCCACTTCCTCTTGTTGTACAAAATTGACGCAAAAATACCCCGGATACAAGATTCACCAAGCATCTTGTGATTATGTAATTTGTAGCATCTGAGCAGTGGTGAGCATAGGATTGAGGTCGAGCTCCACCAGTGATAAGAACCACCTAAAATGACAGAAAACATCAAATGTATTTAAAGGTTTCTTTGACTTTTTTATTTTGTCCGCTGTCGCATCTGATAACATGGAGGAGGCAGGGTTTATGACATGTACTGCAGCCAGCCAGCAGAGGGAGATCCAGGTGTTTTTGCTTCCACTTTTTGGCAGCTGTCATTTCGTCCATTACTTCAGAAGCTTTCCATTTTAAATTTCTCTGAGATGTCAGGACCGACTGATTTGTGAAATAATAAATCACAACACATGACTTTATCTGGAGCGAGCGTCAAATTACATGTCTGGCTACACCTCAACGTTTCAGGCAAGTGGCACATTCAGACACACACAGTATAGAACAAACTGCACGTGTTAATAATTCACATCTGTCCAGGGACTCTCTGCTTTTATTGTAGAAAAACTATGACGTCCGACCACAAGTGCCAGTTTCACCTGTGGGATTTGTTAGAGTGCTGGAAACCTACAAACCCTAAAGGAGCTTTACTGCTGCTGTGTGTTCAGGACACATTGCGAGGCAGGAGAGAAGAATCTGAGCAGAGACAGATATCGAAATCTTACGAACGAAGCAAAAACTGAACAAATAGAATGGAAGAATTTCAAAACTGTCAACAGGCGAGAAGAGAAATAGAAATGAGAGAGGGGCAGATTCTCATTTACAGTCCTGACTCCATCCTCGCTACCCATCCTTGTTGCTTCCATGACAACCAGACAGAGGGTTATGAGGTGGAGACCGTAATGAGTTTTTGTCTTTGGATAGACGCAGACGCCGCATCTCAGCCCCTCTCCTTCCTTCTCCTCCCCCTAATGACCCCCTACTTAGAAACTGCATGAAAGGTGGTTTTCATCTGCCTTTATTAGCTTCACCGAAACCTGTATTTGTTGTGTTTATGTTATGGTTTAGCAGTGAGGAGTGAAACGAGAGGATTCTATTGGATGCCAGTTTGCGTGCACACATGCACACAGGTGGTTTGCAGAATAAGAAGCAAATTTGTATTCAGCTCAAGAGGCTTAAGCAAAACGGTTCTGGCTGTTTTCATGGACACAGTGTTCATGCAGCACAGCAACAGACAGACTGGAGATGAAATGAGGCATCTATTTTCAGGATTGTTCCAGGAGGGACAGTTTCATTGCATTGTATTAAGTCTGAGGTGGATGACAAACTATTTCCAACAACACTACAGATTCAAATAATCACCTTCCTCTTCCCGCTCTTCTCTCTGTCTGCCCCCCCCCCCCCCCCCCCCCCCCCCCCCCCCCCCCCCCATACAGGGGTCCCAGGGTTCTTCCACCTCTCAGTCTTCCGCCAAAGTCTCCAGCTCCGTGGAAGATGGGGACAGACTCGTTACTGAAGGTGAGAAAACTCCACACGTCCCATCTGTGCATTAGTGGGCAAAGGTGATGGAAAATCATGCGTGTCTGAATCATGTTTATGACCTTTGACGCATCTCTCGCTCTCTCATCCATCTCTCCTGTCTCTGTGTTCTTCTTCTGGTTTGTACATTCTGTTCTCACCACCTCTCCCCTCCTCTGGCTTTCATCCTCCTGACTTCATAAAACTCAGTAACAGTGCTGTTATATATATATATATTTGTTTTTTTTAACTCTATCTTTATTATTTATTTCATCGAGATTTTTGGTCACTTTTTCAAGAGACCTGAAAACAAGAGACATTTACAATCAGCAAATAAATACAACACAACATTAAAACAATCACAAGAATAACATCAGATAACAAACATTCAAAATCACCAACGGGAATGTAAGACTGCAGTTGTGGGACAGATTGCAGCTCTTACCATTTAAAAGGTGGATAATACTTATTAAGTAAAAATCTTCGTATGAATTAACCAGAGTATATGTTATATTTTGCTGTTTGGTGAACTAATAGAATTAGAAATCTTCCTCTCAATCCACTGAACTAAAGAAACCGCAAACAATTTTAATCTCTCTGAGGTGGAGAACTCTAAATATCATGTGACATTTATCTTGGATTTTAATCATTTATGAAGGAGCTGGGGAACTTTCCCAAGTGACACGAATCAATTCATGAATTAATGTTCAACCGAACATTCATTGCATATATTCCCATTTTGATTTAACAGTTTGTTCCGCATTTACTTTTCAATTTGCCACGTTGATTACCCTTCGCTAAGCCTCAGTGTGACAAACTGTCATCAGTGGGATGTAAGCAGGGTCCTCATTAACTTTAAAATGAATCTTTTTTTAATTGTCATGAGCTCAATGATTCATATCTGTCAACACTATTTTAAAAATATCTATTTTAACAAGATATGTTTGTAGTATAAGAATTATTTTATTATCAGATTCTGTGCTGTCTGTATTTATTTTTCATCCATTTCATAAGTCCTCTTATTTTTCAATAATTCCACTGTTATGGTCAATTAGACAGATTCAGCTTTATTTGTCACTTCTATAATAAAACGTTGGGTGTGAAATGTCGGATTCCAAAGAGCAGGTCACATTTAAAAACAACATAAAAAACATGAAGAGAGAGAAATCAACTATCTCTGGTATATAAGGACACTGGTCTACAGAAGCTGTGAGGCTAAATCGCTAAACACTTTACTAATTATTAGCCATTACAGTCTTGGCCCATGCTGGAGCTTTTAACAAGATTTTCTACCACCTCTGTTACCTCTATGCAATCGATTCTTATCAGTCTGACAGAAGTTTACAAAATACTCAACTAAACCAAAGTAAAATCGCACATTCAGTTCTAAACCTGGTGTTTCTCTACCTGCAGCCGAGGTTCTTGTGGATGAGGTTCCAGCTGTGCCATCCTACATATCAGATCGTTACAAGGTGGGACGCATGCTCGGCGACGGGAACTTTGCGGTGGTCCGAGAGTGCGTGGAGCACTCCACAGGACGGGAGTACGCTCTGAAGATCATCAACAAGGGCAAATGCAGAGGAAAGGTACAGAAGTCCGAACTCGGGACAAGGAGAAGTTTGCTTCACCTAAATGTTACTTAGAATAAGATTACTCGTGTTTGAAACCTGCTGAAATACTAATACGTTCATGAAAAACTAACAGAGAGCTGAGAAAACAAAGAATTCAACAACAAAACTCTGTGCAAACCATCATTTCTTTGAATTCAGCTTTATTGGCTGAAGACATGAGCTTTGACATGAAATTCATTCAAATTTTATTTCCAGGAGCACATGATCCAGAACGAGGTGGCGATCCTCCGCAGGGTCAAACATCCAAATATCGTGCTGCTGATAGAGGAGGTGGACACTTACAGTGAACTCTACCTGGTCATGGAGCTGGTCAAGGTGTGTGTCCATGTTTGGGAACTACCATCCTCTGCAAAGTATTTTGTTTTCATCTGCCGTTCCTGGTTTTGTTTTTTGGTTTATTTGTTTGTTTGTCAACAGGATTAAGCAAAAACTACTCAATGGATTTACACAAGAGCGCTTTAAATGTAATATTTATGTATCTCGATGATAAAAAAACAAAACAAACCTGTACCTACCACCAATGTGGAGCTGAGATAAAGATAGATNTAGATAGATAGATAGATAGATAGATAGATAGATAGATAGATAGATAGATAGATAGATAGATAGATAGATAGATAGATAGATAGATAGATAGATAGATATTTGGTGCAGCATATAAAGGGACTGTTGGGCCTTGGCAGAGGTTTGCGCTCTACTGAGTGTTATTCTAGTTTTGTTATGTTTGTGGTTGGGAGCAGGCCGAGATATTTTGCCTGACTGATTTAACTGATACTACTATTGTCTGTGTATCATGATGATGATGATTATCTCCAGTTGGAGAAAAGCAGGGAGGCAGAATCAGCGACAGACACAGAGCAGCATCATTCAGCTATTGAGACGAATGTTGAATTCCAACTAGTCACCCAGTGTGGGATCAAGAGAAAGAAATCTGTGGCCTGGAGCGCTCGTGTGTTCACATTCCTCATTCTCTGAGTCAAGAAATATTTGTGCATAATTCAGGAGGCAGAAATGTGATCCATCTGTTCGTGTTGCAGTGTGGAGTACTACAGAATATAGATGAGAGGCAATCTGTGGGAGAAGTGTGTGCACACGTGAGGAGGATCGAGAGGAGGATGAATGAGGTGGAGAGTAAGTGCAAGAATGACAGGGCCCGAGAGAGACGAATTCGTAGGGGAGGCAAGAACAGCATGCAACATAGAAATGGTGCAAAATATAACTCGAAGTACGTCAGCATAGTTTTTGCGACAACACACACACACTGATATTTCAGATAGAAGGCTGCATCCAACTTTGACAGTTTGGACGCAGCCAAACAGTTTCAATAAACGACACCCACAAAGTTTTTTTATTTCAATATGTTGTAGAAGAACATGGAACAAGTGGTTTAACTGACTGACCCCTTGTCTGTGAGGTGTCTGCACTCATCTGGAGTCTTGTAGCTGCATGTTATCAGCTTTTGCATTCGAGATGAGATTGTATAAGCTGTGTAACCTCTCACTGAGTTTTCACATACTTTTGCAGAGATGTACGAATGCATTGCTCATGGGCCGAGCTGTGGGATTTGACAGCGCTCATATTTAAATAACTGGCTGTGCATTTCGAACACTGACAGTGTCTTAGTCTGTGCAGGGAGAGGGAGAGATCCAGCCCTATTTTAAGCCTCCGTTCCACTTAGTCCAGTCAGGGAGAGAGAGTGAGAGAGAGAGAGACAGAGGGAGCAAGAGAGAGAGAGAAAGGTAAGACGAGAGTGAGATTAAGATTGAATGAGAAATATGAGAAAAAGAAAAAGCCAGAGAGAAAGTGTGAATTAAAGGGAAACTAATCAAACGAAAGGGAAATATTTAAGACACGGGGAGGAGATGTTTCAACTAAGTTGGGGAATGAGGACACAGTTTATCCCTCAGCTGCTGAGCAGACGAAAAAACCTTCATTACTAAACCAACTTTTCAGCAGAGGAGATGAGCAACTGTGAAAACTTGGAAAGTGAATCTGCCAAGTTGTCCGTGTGAAAAGTGCCAGAGAGACTCTTGTGACACTTATTGTTCCCATCGCTGACAAGCCGGCCCGTCCATCCTTTTTGTCCGCAGGGGGGAGATCTGTTCGACGCCATCACCTCTGCCAACAGATACACGGAGCGAGACGCCAGTGGTATGCTCTACAATCTGGCCAGCGCCATCAAATACCTCCACAGCCTCAACATTGTGCACAGAGACATCAAACCAGAGAACCTGCTGGTGAGTTCACACAGAGCGGCTCGGCATGTGTCTGTGCCGCAGTCCACTCTCCACTCTTTCTCCGTCTTCTGCTCCCTCCGTCCTCAAGTAAAATCACTCACAACAAACATGACTCATTCCTGCTGCCCTCACACCTCCTGCACACTTCTTCTCCAGCCTTGTATGTTCCTTACCTCCATCCTGCTCTTCCTCCTCTGTCAGCCTCCATGTCGTCTTCTCATCCTCCAACTGCTCTTCTTCATCTCCCCCCTCTGCCCCCTCTTCAACCCAGAGTCTCTCCTCTGGAACTCATTGATTGTGAGGACCAGACGTTCTCTCTCCTGCAGATTCTCTCGAGATCTTTCCACCTATAGATGATAGAGTGGCCTGTGTTGCCACATTCACCCCCTACAGACCAAAGATGGGATTGCAGCATCTTGTCTTGTTTTGTTTTCTTTCCAACTGTTTCAGTTCAATAAAAAATGTTGAGCTTGATTGGACTTGAATATTCATGCGTTGGCTCTTTTTCAGTTAACGTCGCAGTTTTGATTTGTTTTCTTATTTGTTGAAGGTCCTGATATTCTGAGAGATTTTGAGGTGATCAAAATAAAGTAGCGCACCTGAAACTTTGTATGAAACCATCAGCAATACTTCTGCACAAATTTAACATCATTTTAGAGACATTTTGCCAATATTTCGATACTATTAGTAGTATATAGTATAATGTATACAGTAAACCAATACTTCAATAATCCTATATTCAACCATATTTTCCCTCTGTGTTAAAGATCTTGTATTCAACAGCATTTCCATATGTATTTCCTATGTCTCAGGTGTATGAGCATGCAGACGGCAGCAAAAGCCTGAAGCTGGGGGACTTTGGTTTGGCGACCGTGGTGGACGGACCTCTGTACACAGTCTGCGGAACCCCAACATATGTAGCACCTGAAATCATCGCAGAAACAGGGTGAGAGCATCAGCTGCTGCAGGCTCTGGGGTTACATAAACAACTCAGAGGGCACAACTGTGAACACAACTTCTCTAATGTAATGAGTCCTTCCATGGAAAACATCTGGGTCTGATTGCCGTTGGGATGCTGGTTACAGAGAATTAACTGTTTTCATTATTGCTTAGAAATGTTCTGAGTCTGTGCCATTTGTCTTTGTGCAGTTATGGCCTTAAGGTGGACATCTGGGCAGCTGGAGTCATCACCTACATCCTACTGTGTGGTTTCCCACCATTTCGAGGGTAAGAGCTGCTCCAAATAGTGAAATTCAACTTTCACTTGAAATTGGAGCAGTATATACTCATGTTCACGTGGAAATGTTTTTTTTTTGCAGGAGCAGTGACGATCAAGAAGTGCTTTTTGATCAGATACTAATGGGACAGCTAGAATTTCCTCTCCCGTACTGGGATAATGTGTCGGAGACAGCCAAGGTGAACACACCTGTGTGTTTGTGTGTATTCTGAATGGAGACACGTCACTTCACTTTATAACGAAGGAATAAAACCTCACGATTGTTTGCTCTCTGCTGCAGGAGCTGATCCGATCAATGCTGGAGGTGGAGGTGGACCAGAGATTCTCTGCCCTCCAGATGCTCGAGCACCCCTGGGTCACCGTAAGTCCGCTGTCCACCGAGCCCCTCACATTTATTCAGTAGCAACATTTTTCAAATATGAGATTTTTTTCCTTTGGTTTTTAAAACCTCTTGCTTGATACAGGATGAAGGCCTGTGTGAGAATGATCACCAGTTGTCAGTAGCAGGGAAGATAAAGAAGCACTTCAACACCAGCCCGAAGGTCAACGACACCACTGCAGGAGTGTCAGTCATTTCTGTAAGTCACTGAAACTACACTACCCATAATTCAACTTGTCCTACAGGTTACGCTCAGTCTCTTTCCATCACAGATGCACCTCTGAGTGAAGTTTCTGTGCTGGTGTTTAGATTGATTGTGCTGGTTTCTCTCTGTATTTAGCTGGATGACAGCTTTTCTATGCAGAGATCTGGGTCGTTGGATTTCTACCAGCACCCGGCCATGTACTGGATAAGGTATGCCAGGTTTCCATAGAGACACAACTGGGGTGGATTGTTCACAAACAAACCAAAATTGTGTCTCTGAAATTGATGTCCCCCCCCCACCTGCCATGCTTCTGCTCTGACAGCTTCATGTCGTCCCCACTTTGTGATCTGTGTCCGTGGTTTTTATCCCATGCTCACTGCAAATCAGTTTTCATACAGCACCTGCATCGTTGTTCTCCGTGTCGTGTCACTGTTTATCGTCTCCTGGATTTTGGTGGAAACCCTGTGGATTCGAAATTTCTCTGTTGAATATGTCCAATTTTTAGTAACAGACACTTTTTATTTATGCAATTTCTTTGTGAATGCTGCCTCTCCAAATAATTCATCCCCATGCTCGTGTCAGTGAATGTCAGTGATTGTTTTTGCTTGATGTGATGGCTGCATCTACGAACACAGGACTTCAGCTCCCATGCACTGCCCCCTGTTGTGTGACTGTATTCACTGATTTATGGAAGGACCCAGAGAGTCGTGGTTATAACGGTTCAATCGAATAATTCGTTGATATTTACAGTAACAAGATAAGAGGAATTAATGCAAAACTTTATAAGAATCCAAACAACAATTTAATATATTAGAAAAGAGAACAGCACTCGTAAAGGTCTAAGAGTCACCCTATGAAATCACATTTAAATTCACTAGATCCAGCTTTTTATTTGGCGTTGCACACACTCATCAATACCAACCCATTGCCTGAATTCTTTTCATTTCAATGCAAAGATTCACACGTAATTCTCAACCACTTTATTAATCTAAATGTGTTTTTTAATCCTTATTCTAACCATATAGTTAAATATTGTTAGATACATTTGGCTCTCCTGGTCCCTTCATACTGGATTTATTCACTGTTCCACTGGATCCTTTGTATCAAAGGATATAATGTTCTCCTGTTCCTCCCCCCCTCAGGCCACCTCTCTTGATAAGGAGGGGCAGGTTCTCAGACGAGGACGCCACCCGGATGTGAAGCCGCCGCCCCTGCAGACGACTCTGACGGTGACACCAGTGACAACATCTACGACAAACGCACCCCGGGCCGAGCCTCCCAGTTGCCTCCCCGGCCTGCCTATGGCCCCTCCCTCTCTGACCCCTGAGACTTGCTCTGACCCTTCCCCGCACCCCAGCCTCCCGTCCGACTCTGATGACATCTCCATCAGCTCAGCCAGCACCGTCTCCTCCCCCAGCTCGCCCTTCTAGAGAGCAGGTGGAGGAGAAGATGTGCAGAGGAAGAAGCGAGGAGACATAAATCCTCATCCATCTCCTCCCTCTGTATGGAGGAGGAGGAGAAGGATGAGGAGGACGAGGAGGAGACATATTTTATCTACGGCTGAGGGTGAATAGGGGAAAACTGTGGAGGAGAAAAAACTTTTATCGTCCCTGAATCCATCTCTCTAAACCTGGAGGAGAGATGGATCAAAGGGTGGAGCCCTTTGAGTGAGAAAAACTAAAGAGGCAACAAGAAACAGGGATCACGAGGAAGAGGGAGAGGGCAGAACGAGGTGAAAGACTTTTCTTTATTTCCTTTTTTAACGTTCTCTCACCTGAGCACATGTTGCAGGGCTCAAGGAGCAACGAAGGGCGACAGTGTACTGTTTACCCTTCAGTGATGATCCGGGCTCAACATGGAAACTTCCTTATGGTGGAGCAGCTCTATGGCAATATGAGAATATGGACTAATGTTCATGTTTTATTGAACCTTATTTATTCATTATTATTCATACTCTTCTCATTTTTTTTGATTATGTGTTTTCCCTTTTTCATTGAGGACAATTTTTTCTTGACTTGTCCTTTAGAGCTTTGTGGAATAATGAAATAATGGAATAGAAGTAGAAGCTCAGATTGTGAGGTAGGTGTGAGCATAGCCTTGATAAACAGTGTAATGTTTGAAAACGAGAGGAGAAAAACCTTTTTTTTATTAATAAATGTGTTCAAGAAAACAGTGTTCACTGAAAACTACATCTAAGACAGCACTTGTGCTATAATCCTGTGCTAAACACAGTATTGGCATTGCCTTCCTGTAATGTTGGATTGCAGTTTTACAGTTTACATTTTACACGGACTGCTATTATGACAATAATGGTGCATTGGATCGCTCCTTGAAATTTCTTCTTCATCCATAGCATCTTTACACATAAAATTCAAGAATTTGGGTGCTTGTGTAGCAAACTCAACATTTGAACTATTTTCCCGTGATGCACTCATTTTCACACGATCATTGTCCGTTGATTTCTTGTTATTTTGTGACGCTTGTGTATATGAAGCCTTGTTTACATTTTTTTTCCCCGACACCGAAGACATATTTCATCCACATATTCCAGCAGTGAAGAAAAGTGTATTTTTTGCAACACTTTTTGTGGCTTTGGAGAAATGTTTCAGGTAGAGTTTCGGAGGGCGACTGCCTTTTTGCACAAAGTACTGCGGTTTAGGTGCAGTCACACAGGACTGACAGAGTCAATATGGATGCCGGAGAACCAGCAGCACAATAGAGAAGCAGATAAAGAGGGTTTTATTTCAGCTCTGTACAACCTCATTCATGGCTTCATTTATTCAGATGGAGGCGTGACAGACATTCAGTAGCGTATTCTTATTAAAAAAAAAAAAGCTGTTTATTGATGAGGTATTGTTTATATGTTATGTAAATAACATAATTGTATTTATTTTGATAGTCCACAACACAGTATATTTCTTTACTGGTAGAGAACTCAGTCATACGTGTGTGTCAGCAAAAGAAAAAAACTTTCAGAGACGATCAGGTCGAAATGAAACAAAACAGTAATGTTGAAAAAGACCTGACGTTGCAGCGCTTACATTCATCAACACAGACGAAACGAGACGACCATTTTTTCTTCTTGTCGGACACTGGGAATGATGTCACTTCCTCTGTAAAAACAAAGGGATTCCCAATAACTGATGTGAGAAAAAAAAAAGCAGAGAAGATGCGAGATGCAGGGGTTTTGTCTTTTCAGATTTTTCTCCCTGCTGTTGTTCACATGTGTCTAGAAGTTTGTGTATTTGTTCCCATTGTCACACATAGACAGTGATGTGCCGTCATATTGACCGAATCAGTATGAGTTTGTTGTGCTGTTGGGACGAACTCTCCCCTGCACATGGGCACACGTGGTTTACCAAAGTGCTCTCACAGCTGCACCACAGTGTTCAAATCTGTTGCAATACCAATACCTGTACCTCTGTTCAACAATGATCTATCAATAATAATAGTAATAATTAAAACATGTTCCAAAAACAAAGTGTTGGTGTTGTTTGTAGAGCTACTATATGTGAAATGATCCTTCAGCCAGATGTGTAGAACACAATTCATGTTGTGATGAACCAGGAGGGCCGGTTACTGTGTAGATTTTTAATGAGGAAATTACAGAT